GCCTCAGTGTGGATTAGTACTCAATGTAAGGAAGACCAAAATCCTCATAACTAGACCTGTGGAATAAATGAAGAAAAGATTGAAGCTGCCAAGGATTTTGCCTTCCTGGGATCCATAATCCACACTCATGGAAGCAACAGTCAAGAGAGCAAAGTATGCATTGCATTGGGTAAATCTACCACACAACACATTTGAAAGTGTTCAAAAACAGTGGTATTACTTGGAAGACTAAAGTGTACCTGACGCAAGCCATGGTATTCAATTGCTTCCTTTGCATGTGCAGGTTGGACCTTGAATAAGGAAGGCCAAAGAAAAATTGACGCAATTGAATTGCGGTGTTGGCAAAGAATACTGAAAATACAACGGACGGCCAAAAGAGCAAGCAGATCTGCGGTGGAAGAATGAAAGCCAGCATGCTCCTCAGAGGTAAGGCTGGTAAGACTTCCTCTCATATACTTTGGAGAGGTTTTCAAGAGAGCCCAGTCCCTGGAGAAGGACATCGTGCTTGGTAAAGCAGAGGGACAGGAGAAAAGAGAAAGGGCCGCAACTATGGACACAGTGGCTGCAACTCTGGGCAGGAGAACCGTGCCGGAATGGAGCCTGCCCGGGAGTTCCCTTCTGTTGCACACAGGGCTGCTTTGAGTGAGCCCAGACTGGATGGCACCAACCAGAACAACAGCAACAGGCCACCACGCAAAGGTAACCCTGTCAACCATCACTCACAGCTGAGTCATATAATCCAGTAAGTATCTGTGCCCTCCTTTTTACCCTGACCCATCAGGAAAATGAAGGTCATGTGGTAGGAACAACAAAGGCAATGTCAAATAAATCACTTCATTGATGCTTCAAATAGAATAAATAGATATTTTTTTCTTTTAATTTATTTAGTTTTTTAATTGTGGAACCAAGAACCTGAAAGTTTTTCAGTTCTACCCCAAAGTTGACTGTTAATTAATGCTGGAGCCTGAACTTGAACTTAAAATTTTTGTGAAAGTAAAATCCATCATTTTTACTTCACTGATTTATAAGAGTGTAAAAACCAGGGGAGAGGACTAAAAGGAGGGTCTGAGAGTCGGACTATCGCTAAAAATATAAGTAGGATTGACAGTGGATATTTGTACTCAGACACCGGGATATTCATGAATGTAGAACATGAGCCAAACGCATTGACACAGAGTCAGTTGGGAAGTGTGGGACAGACGAAACCGCCCCTGTGGTTCTCTGAGGTTGTAAATGTTGATTTACAAGGAACAGAGGAACAGAAAGCCTCATCTTCCTCTTGGAGGCAGCTGATGTTCTTGAACTAGTGACCTTGCTGTTAGCATCTCAACTCATAGTCCACTCGGCCAGCAGGACTCCTGTGGTAAAGCACACAGGGTACAAAGTTACCAAAATGTCTTAGATATAACGGAATACCTTGAAGTGATGATTCACTGCTGCTGGGGCGTCAGGACCACAGTCGGAGAGAGCCTCTGGGTCTCTGGGCATACCATAATCCACAAAGACAATGTCCTGCAGCCTTCCTTAATGAGTAGCAGCTGGGGTATTAAAAGCCCGCGATTGACCAGCTAAGGGTCAATTATTGGTCGCTCCCTGGCTATAGGGAAGAAGAGTAATGAAACCGGAAACAAGTGGAAACAATTTATCCAATTGACTCAGGAACCCTATGGAAATGTCTCCATTACCATCAAACCAGAACAAGATCGTGCCCATCTACCATGATCAATTCTCCGGAAAGAGAGCACAATAGAAGGTTTTGGGTAGAGTGGAAGAACATGTGGAAAAATCCCAAAATCATAAAAAGACCAGACTCTGCACTTTGCCGTTTTATTTAACAATATTTCATAGTCTTTATCTCAGGCAAATCCTTTAAAAAGTTGCATGATAGCTGATAATTTATCAGTATTTCCTTATTGATGGGCATGCATAGTAGTTATACTCTTTAAATTCTTGCAGTAAACACCTTTGTATATCAACTTGTGCACTCAAGATTTTATTTCTTTATCAAAGATTTCCAGAAACCAAGGATTTTTAAGTTTTAATAGATATTGTCAAAAAAATTTCCTAACTGTGCTATTAATTCTCACATTGGTTTAAATTGACACATTATTGACAATCATTAGCCTAGATCTAGATCTTAACTTTATTGAGGTATAATTGTTTTATAATAAACTGCACATATGCAAAATATAGAATTTAAAGGGGTATTTGTTAGAATTTAAAGTTTTGACTTATGTCTACCAAATCATCATCACAATCAACATAATTAACACATCCTTCATCCCCCAAAAGCCTCCTTACCATCCTTTATAACAAACTCACCCTCCATCCCACTATTTTCTCTTTCAACTTCTGACAGTGGGTTTATGTATCATAATAGGTAGTGAATACTGCTCTCTGAGAGTTTGCAAACAAGTGGGAGAGACAGATAGTAATCAGATAAGTATGTACATAAATATATAATTACATTTGGTGAGACATACTCCTGAAAAAGAAGCATGTATTTCTTATAGCCTTTAACAAACATCTCTCATTTGGATAGATGATCAGGGAGGATTTCTTTTTCTGTGTCCAATGTGTGACCACCACATTGTTTCTATATCCCAAGTACATTGATTTTCCACAACAATACCAAATAATTTCACCTCTCCTTTCACCATGACTCCAGTTATAATCCAATTCCTTTCAGATTAACTACACAGTCATAGTAATTCCCTTATAACAACAAAAAAAATACAGCCCAAGATGCTGGGTTGTGAGTATAGCTTTAGTGTTAATAAGAAGCAGCTTAACAGCCCTGAGAAGTGCGTTCTTACTACATGTTCAGTGTGGTGATAAACAGCATATAATGCCCCTCAATTATAGCTTTGAGGTAAAAATAGGAAGTTCTAAGACAAGTTATCACAACTAAATTATAATTTCATTGCTGTGGTGTTGCCCTTTTATTTATTTTTTGTTATTTATAAAAAATCATTTTATTTGAGGCTCGTACAACTCTTATCACAATCCATTACATCCATCCATTGTGTCAAGTACATCTGTACATGTGTTGCCATCATTGTCAAAACATTTGCTTTCTACTTGAGGCCTTGGTATCAGCTCCTCATTCTTCCCCTCCCTCCCTGCCCCGCGCCTCATGAATCCTTGATAATTTATACATTATTATTTTTCATGTCTTACACTGTCCGATATCTCCCTTCATCCACTTTTCTGTTGTCTGTGCCCCAGGGAGGGGGTTATAGGTAGATCCTTGTAATCGGTTCCCCTAAAGAAATGAGAATTGTCCTGGGATCTGAAAAATAAGAGATTTGAAGGCTAAGAGGAAGAATGTCAAGTAAAAGGGAAAATATCTTTCCAATTGAATGAATAGCATTTGCAATAGGTTTATATAAGGCACCTTGTATTGCAGCAAAGGCCAAGATGGCTGGAACGTAAATGAGAGCAAAGAGAGGGAAGATAAAGAGAAAGGCACGTTGTCTGCAGGCCCCCAAGGTCATGTCAAGACGGTTATTTTCTAAATGCTGAAAACTGGAAGTCGACCGAAGGGTTTTAATTATTAGCATACAACATTCACTTGGACAGAACAGAATGGAGGGCCCAGAGTAGAAGCAAAGATCATGCTAGAAAGCGACTGCAAGAAACGAAAATACCTTGGACAAGAGACGCATTCGTGCAGATGGAAACTGTGGCAGGAGTCAGGAAACATCCAGAGAGAAAGGTACAGGGATACGTCGTGAGCTGGATATCTGTGCCAGAGAGAAGGTAAACATGTGGCAAGCGTAAAGCGCTGATGATGGGACTAACCATCCATGGATAGCATTGAGAAGAATGGGCATTCCTGAACAATGTGCAAGATTTAAAATCAGAAAAAAGTATATCAGGGTTGTATCCCTTCACCACATTTTTCAATCTGTATCCTGAGCTGATAATCAGAAAAAATGTCTTATATGAAAAAGAATGGGTTATCAGGATTGGAGGAAGGCTTAATAACAACCAACTATATGCACATGACACAACTTTGTTTACTGAAAGTGAGGACTTAAACCACTTGTTGCTGAAGATAAAAAATTGAAGCCTTCAGTATGTATTAAAACTCCATTCCACCACAACTTTCTCCCACAGAGTGGCTGGTGGATTTGAACTGGTGACTTTTTAGTTAGTAGCTGAGCACTTTAACCACTATGCCACAGACTCCTCACAAATATAGATATATTTTTAAAAGCAACTTGTCAAGCCCACTTCATTGAGTTGATTTCAACTCGTGAATTCTGACTCATCATGACCCTATATAAGGTTATAAATTACAATGCGGATATTTTCCATCCAAACCATTTTATTAGGAGCTAATCCAGACATCATGCCTTTCCGTAGTTCAAGCATAACAGTGTTGTACAATCACTACCACATCAGTTTTAAAACCACTTCTTCCTTCTTGAAATCCTTGATATCAGCTCCTCCTTATCCCTAGCACCTCCCCCATCATGCGCCCCCGCCGCCCCCCCCCATGGGAACCCTTATTCTAGAACATAGAAAATGACAGAAGAGAGAGCCAAGACTACCAACAAAGACAAAATACATCAGAGACAAACCCCATATGAAAACAACAGAAAATATTAAAAACCATATCTAGCAGAAAGTGCATTAAAATGGAGATCAATTGACAAGATTTTAACCATTCCAGTCAGATTGATCATTTTAATCTACTTTAATCATCTCTCCAATACTCTGTCTGACAACCAGGTTATTTCCAATCCCTCAATTATGGATAGGAAATTGCCTGAGGTATATCCTTGTCTAGATCTTGCAAATATATGTGGGCTTCCACTGTCATCCATATCCTGTGCAGACCAGAATCTCACAATTTAATATCTGATAGTATGCCCTCTTTCAGATTTGGATTGCATGATTTACCATCGTTGGATCACAAATGTTGGTGTGCTTCTTCCATGTGGACTTAGTTGATGTTTCACTTAGATAGCTGCTTGTTTGAAAATAGGTCTTTAAGAACCCAGCTGATAATGCTTTTTAATAACCAGGAGCCATCTATTATCTCCACCACACTTGGCTATAGCACTTCTAGCTTCTGTGTCTTGAGCAGGGCCCCGTCTTAAAAACTGATTGTTCTTAGATTGGAGCTCGGATGAAGTGTGGGCCCCAAATCCTACGGTGTAAATCTTTAAGCGGGGAGACAGCCTTGTCATTTCCCACCGAGGAGCTGGTGGGTTTGAACCACCCATTTGGCAGTTAGCCATCTAGGACTTACCCAACAGTGCCAGCCTGGCTTCTATATAGATATGACGGTAACTGTAAATAAAAATACCTATTGCTATTGTCATGCCCATAATCTAATCAGGAAACAGTTCTCATCTGATAAAGATACATGCAGGACACAGAAAGGAAGAAAGGGGTACTTTATAAAAGAAAAATGCCAAAGAAACCAGTGGCAGTTTCTAGAAAGGAATTACGAGAAAGAAAATCAGATAATTTCCATTTAATTGTGAGTCTAGTGAAAAAGTCAATGCAAGGAAGGTGTTGTCTCATATGGCTGTTTTCCTCTCTTGAAGTCATGAACAGCCCATGAGCGCCACCTGCCTTCTTCAATCTGAGTCAACACTCTGTGAGCTATCCACCTGGCTCCACTACAGAACCAGGAAGCACGTGCATTTTATTTACCTGTTTGTTGTTAGGAACTCTGGTGGCACAGTGGGCTGCGTGCTGGGCTGCTAAACACAAGATCAGCAGTTAGAAGCGACCAGCTGCTCTGCGGGATAAAGGTGAGGCTTTCTGCTCCTGTACAGAGTTACAATTTGGAAATGAACAGGGGCTAATCCACCCTGTCCTCGACAGTCGCTATGGGTCAGAGTGGACTCCACGGCAGTGGGTTTTTGGTTTTTGAGATCTGTTCATTTCTGTTACCTCCCAGAACCGTGGAGATCAGAAATCAAAGGACTTGACCACCACATCTCCTGACCTGCCCTCACACAATATTAAGGGTTTGATATGTCAGGCAGAACAATCATACCAGGCCTGATCCTGAAACCCCAAACCTGTCTCTGGGGATGGGGTGTTCTGATCTCCATCCCCTTAGAGCCTAACTTCTCTTCCTAATGGAAAAGTTTGGAGTGACTATGAAAATATTAAAGCTTACATGTATCTTGGCCTTGCAATTCCACTTCCAAGATTTTTTGGAAAAGATAAACACCAGAGAGTACACAAACACAAGCCAATGGATGTCTATGGTAGCTGTCTTTGTAATATGGGTGTTACTAGAAAGACTGAAGAATGTATGTAGATGACACTTTACATACAGTGTGACCCGTCCTTTATCTATGCACATCTGTAAATGTTCAGAAAAATGTCTTAAAATATCCATCAATCTATGACGAGTAGTTCTTTATATTTCATGGGATGGGAGGAAATAAGTTACCTTTCCAGGTAGAAATATATAAAAATAGACACACATATGTGTTCATATATAGGGATACATGTAATCATACATAAACCAAAACCCCTGCCCTTGAGTTGACATCAATTCACAGTGACCTTATATATAGCTGGCATGTATACTATAAAGTGGTCCTAGGATCAACTGAATGGAAACTCGTGGTCTAGTGAAGTAGATTCCACATCAAGCTATTAAGACCCTAGTCTTCTCAGACAATACTTCGACATTTCTTTTTCATTTTAGGTTAGTTAAATGTCATTAAAAGTTGGATATTAGAAGAGTGGGAGATCTGGAAACATTGCCTTGTTTAAAGGAAAAATGAAGGCATTTGGTGCAGTCGGCCCAGAGATGAAAGTAAGGGAAGCCAAGCCCAGCCCCCATGGCTTCTATTCAGCTCAGGGTGGCCTCG